CATCATAAAACTTAAAAGTGCAACATAACACCATAGCATAAAGTCCAGCGTAAACCACAGTATTAATTAGGCGATTAGACCACAGGATTAAACTCCAGCTCTGGATCACAGCAGAGGAGATTGTTGGCAGCATGTGAAGGAATGTGACCACTGGAGTCGTATTAGCTCGGCGAGTCCTACAGGACCAGATTAGAGCATCAGGAACTACAAACCCTCACATACTGAACTATTTTCTGCATGCCAGTGGCACATATTCGGCAAACGTCAAGGAATCTGAGTACAGACTCAGGTACTTAAAGATGAGTGAAGGGAAGCTTCATGTGTGCCAGCAGCAGTCTGGCCTATAAACCCGTAGATGTGACTCAGATAGAGGCTGTTTATTTTAGACTTGCCATTTTAAGCCTCTTGTGCTGCTGTTAATATTTTATGTCTGTCACTGAATCAACAACATTCTCAGCATGGATTTCCCTCACAATATATATATATATATAGTTCATGTAATTTAATTGAGCACATGACCAAATTTAGACCAAATGTGACTTTTTAAAGAGTCTAAGCTTCTTTTCATTGACTTTTTCACCCTAAATTTATTTAAAAAAAAATAAAAAAAATCGCCAGTCATGATTAAAATGAGTAAATTGATGAAAAATTGTAAATAATAATGTGAGCAGAAAAATAAGATGAAATAGCATGTATTATGAATAATAAAATATAATCAAATATTAGCACAATACATATATTTGATGTATTTTCAATATGTTGTAGTAATTTAATTTTAAAGTAATTTTTTCTTATTATATTTTTAACCAAAATGTTTATTAACAAAACACACATTTTGCATTTACACAAAATGTATTTTAAGATTGGAAATGTATTTTGTAATATCTTTTGCTTTGGTAGTGTCTTTATCGTTAAAATAAACATATGTTCAATTTGAAAAATATATTTACTGTGCCATGCTGTTTACAACATATATAGCAAATATTTCAAAGATATTTTGGCCAAAGGCCATAACAGTCCTGCAGTGCAGCAGAAATGTAAGTAAAAAATTGTCTCACTATGTATTCAAATGTACTATTTACACAGTATGTGCAACATATACATTTGAACATCAAACTGTATAAATTAACATTATTTATTATGTATTCTGAACCAACATGAATTAACAATGAACACTGTAAATTAACATTAACCTGATTGATAAATACTTTAAAAGTGTTGTTGCTCATAGTTCACGATTAACAAATGTTAACAAATGTTGTTTTTTTCTATAATACGACTTTCCAATGATTTCTAATGCTGAGCTAATGATATTTTCTATCCCCTCACCTTAAATGTAACCCTCACATAACCTTTCTGCATTAAGACATTATTTAGTATGTTTGTTACAACAATTTCCTTGTGAGGATTGTTGTTTGGCCCTCATCATGTAGGTTATTTCAGGTTTTACTATCCTTGTGGAGCCATTCCGTCCCCACAATGTAGGCAAAACCTGAAGCAACCAGCCCACATAAGGCACATTATTGTTTTCACCAGAGTATGACCCCAAAGAAAAAAAACGAACAACATTTTTTTCAGTCCACCTCAGTACCAGATTTAGTACTACTATTAATGAATAATTAATGTTCACAAACATGTTAGTTTGATGGGGATGTTTGTGTCTTGTGGAATATGGAACAGTAGAATGACAGAGGGGTCAGATAAATGTTACCATGATGCCAGCTGAATTATTAAGATCTACTAGATTTAGCTTTGCAGCGTTTCCCTCCTCAAAAAGATCTTGGTGTCCTCTCGCATTATTATGCTACAGGGGCTTGTACCCACGAGCAGACAGAAAGATTTCTCCTCAGGATTACTTGATGTTTCTTTTATCCTTGTTGTCAGTGGCATACACCCAATTCACCTATTGGCTTGTCTCTGTTGTTCTGAACACCACAACCCTCTCGGGTCTCTGGAGGGAAGACTCTTCTGTGAGAATGTTAAGAGCCAACTGCAGGTCACAAACATTTATCGTCACTTTCCGATTTTGGGCTGAAACCTTCCATTTCTGCTACTCTTGAAAAATGAATGTCCTTTCAGACATTGCTATAGGCATCAGGATACTGTATGTGACAAAACCTCTCTCTCTCTCCCTCCCTTCCTCACACACATACATATCATTTGGTGTGTGTGTGTACTTGTGTGCTGGGAAATTGCTATTAATGCATCACAATTTAGCCGAACAGCATTAAAGCCCCAACCAGTGTTTTGGTGCAAAAGACAACATTTTCAATCTCTATCTAAACTTTCCTCCATTATTGTTCATCTGCCTGGCTGATATGAAAATAATGAGGAATGATGCGTTTTTATCAGCGAACAGTTATGTAGGGCATCGATGTTAAACTTCAGAATAGTGGGAGACACACTTACATGATACAGCCAGATAAATCATGATTAGTATGCATTCATCTGCCTCTTTCACAAGTATGCATTCATCAAGTATGCATTCATCTGCCTCTTTTTGTAGCTATGTGTGTGTGATGGTGATAATGCTATAATCTACAGATGTTTTTGATTATCTACCCACTTTATTGGGTAGATAAAGTATATAATTATATGCTAATTTATTCAATAATATTTGCATTTTAAAAGTACAACGTTTATATTAATAGTAATTGATAATTTATAAAGTAATTTATAATATTAAAAAAGCATATTAATTGAGCTATATCTCAAAAAGCAAGAATGCAGTTCTGAATATCACCGTGGATGTGATTCGGCTTTAGATAATCAAAGCCCTGCTGAATTCAGAACAACAAAATAACTTTGAGTGTGATATTGCTTACAGTATAACAGTCCAATACACAATAGGTTAATGTTACACAACGTTTTAGACAGTATTTCAAGTTCCATGAAAATAGTTCCAAACGAAGTCAAAACTGAATTATCTAACAACACACAATAGCAGAGTTTAGTTCTGACCCAGTGTTTTTGGACGAATCGGTTTAGTGAATGATACAAAGACTCACTGATAATGACAGTTGCTTGTTTTGTCCGAGAACAAATCGGTTGACTGAATGACTCAATGACTTGTTCTTAAAGGCAGCAGCTTGTCTCCAGCTACTGGCGTAACTATGTAACCTGCAGAGTCAGTAAAAATTGGGTACTCTTGGAACACCTCTATACTATTATTGTATACTATTTTGCAAATGTAAACATATATTTCACCTACATCATTAGCCTACAAAATTGTTATGCACACCCATCATACAGTAGTCACATCTCAGCACATTTATACATGCGAGTATTTGGGTATTATGTACGCACTTTCATACACAAATGCAATGTGCTTCATGCACACACACAGTCAAGCAACAACTGTGTGACGATTCTCCCCCCTTTCCCTCTTGTCTTCTTTCTTTCTTATTTATTCATATAGCTCATATTTTATTTTTGTCAGTGCTGTCAGAGTGTGTATGGTATCTCTCCTGGCCTTTTCCCTCTGCCGTCAGACTTCATTAAATCTGCAAGTTGTATTTGCATAAGCGGCACCAAGTCTCAACACCTACATCCCAGGGTGACGTGTCATTTCCTGGTGTGTGCGAGTGAGAGATAGACAGTGCGTCTGACAATATGCGCTCAGCTTTGTTCACCTGTTTGTATTTTGCCAGATTCCTACTGATTCAAGGTAGCCCAACCATCCCAGATGCTTTAGAAGTGAGCTGCGCCTATTATTATTCCACAATGTTCCTGTTGAATTTTAAAACTCACAGTCTTTCTGCTGCGGTGAGCTTCAGTGTACGTGCGCCTGTGGGTGTGTGTTTCATGATATCATGTATTACGATATCAGCATGCATCTCCATACACGGCCTATGCATCATTTCACTTTCAAATATCTATCTTTATGCCTCTCTCTATGCTGCCATTGTGGTTGGTATTTATGAATTTTATTTTGGGCTAATTTCTCTAATCTCTTGATGACATGCGCACAAACACTCTCAGGATTTCCTCGAAACTAAATTGCCTGTGCATTGAACAGATTCAAGCGTTCGATTAGACAAATACAAAATGCAATTTGTTGTCAGAAAGGCAAAGACAGAGAGAGCATAATGTTTACACTGCAAAGAATTATTTCAGTTCCTTTTGAAACATGAGGGTGTGCATTTGGAGTGACTGCGGTTTTGTCTTCAGGCGTAAAGGTCAGAAAACATGATACATATACTGTATATAATGCTGATTATGTTATTTTCCCATGTATCAGTACAGTGGAGGAAAAGTAAATAAATAAATCATGTTATTTGTGGCACAATAAGCCATTAGGTTTCACTAGCTTGCAGCCTCTGAAATCAGAGTATGGAGAAAAATTCTTTTCGACATGTTTAATTATTGAATATAATACTGACACATGTACTCAATAGCAGTTACGAGGCTGGATAAAAACATTGATAATAAAAGTGATAACCTTATAACCTTAATAAACTTTATTCTGCTTGTTTTGAGAATAACACTTTGATCTTTTACACTTTTACATGTTCTAGAATATACTGGTACATCTATTCTGTTATTTCAGACTGTGGGGCTGAAAAGCTTTAATTTAGAAACAAACAATATACAGTCCGTTAGAGGTCCAGATCGATTTTACATGTTTAAATGCTGTTTCAAAGATTCCGCAAGGAATGATTGGACCTTCTGATTAGGTAGCGCAGGAATGATCATGGAACTTTGGGAAGAACTGAAGGGCAAGGAAGGAGAACATGTTGCTGAAGAGCTTAAACTCCATTGGGTCGCACTGGTGTAGATGATCCAAACATCTTTTGTATAAAACAAAAACAAAAAAGAAACAACTGCATACGTACATCGAGACCCCCCAGCCAATACATTCCAGCAGCTATAGATCCACACCCAGAAGATCAAGCGTCCGGAAGGCCAGGGGGTCCATTGAGGAGGACACATTAACTTTTTAGGATGGTCCTAATGTTTATGGTGGATATATTTCTGGAGATCAGTCTATTCCGAAATAATCGTCGTACGACTAATACTGATCGATCCTGTTAGCTGAAGCTCAATGGTGTCTATTAGTCTTCACTTTCAGCACTTTTGTCCCAGTAAGTTGGGTCCGATGGTTCCGTGGAGCGTAGAACTATCGGGTCACCTGAAATAGAGAACGAGAAAGAATTTAGGTTTGACACTTTGGTGTTTTCCCATTAGACACACCTGCACCTTTGTTTACCAGCACATCTGACTCCAATAACCCCCAAAAATGAATCCTTATGAACTACTGCCCTATTTTGTACAGAGGAACAAGTTGTCTGATTCTCCATCTCTATTAGTACAGATTTCATTAATGCTTGACATTTATCTGCGCTGACTTGTTGTCCTGGCTGCTGATGGGCATGGTCCGCTGGAGCAGTGGGTGAAACAGTTGGCGCCCAAGCAAACTCATTCATTTAGAGCCTGGCACCTTGCCTTCCAAGTTGGCACAGAGGGACGACTGAAGAGAGTGCCATGGCACAATGCCCGATACTTGATCCACCCTCTCACTCTTCCTCTTTCTGTCCCGGTGTCTCTTTCAGATTTGGCAAGTTTTATATTGCAAGAGGTGTGCTGGCATCGAACAGTTACCATGCCGATCAATCATTTTAAACATCCATAATTGATCAAAGCAACTCTTTTTTTCTCCTCTCTTATTTTTGACAGACCTGCGCTTCTATCCCTTGATTCTTTCTTTTAGCTTTATGTATCAGGTGTGCATAAGTTCACTTATTAATCATGGTTAAAAGTTTTGACCAGTAGGTGGTCCAATTCTGAGTACAAACAGAGAATTGAGTTCCCTTTAAAGCATTTCGGAGAGAGTTAAAGTGCTGAAGGTTCAGTGCTGTAGGTCTCATTTTGAACACAGTTGCATCTGTAATGAGAATTAATGCGGTTGTGTGGGTTTATGTAACTACTTTTAAAAGACCTGATAAAACCTCTGGGAATGCCCTCAAATCTTTATAAAATGATTTATAAAGTAAATAAAGTTGTTGTTTTTTCTATAAAAAAGACATACAAATTATAATATAAATTGAATTTGGGTGGTTTTCAGCTTGTTGCTATGCAGTTAGGGTGTTCTGGGTGTTTGTCAGAACTGTAGGTGCTTGCTTGCGCACCTAAGCCAAAAGAGACAAAAGTCTTTATGATTTTTTTTGTTTTTTTTTGCACAGATTATTGTTATCAAGAACTACTAACAATAAGCTTTGATCCAGATATTGTCTACATTCTGGGACCAACATCTACCCATAGAGAAAGAGGCAGAATGTGTGTGTGTGAGATGTGTGTGGATGGTCCAAAGTAGTACAAGAACAAGAACACATACGCACATACACTTCTGTTCGTTTTGGATTTTCATTTATAAAGTACAGATTTCACTTCATCTAAAGAAACATCACACACATTCAAGTACAGTTCATCACACACATGTAGGCTCACATGAATTCACTGTGATGAAATATGGATCAGTGTTGTGTGTGTGTGTGTGTGTGTGTGTGTGTGTGTGTGTGTGTGTGTGTGTGTGTGTGTGTGTGTGTGTTTTATTAGAGGTTTGGCGGCACACATAGCTTATCAGTCATTGATCAAACCAGACTCTCTCCTTCAATTCTGTTTTCCTCCCCTGTTTTATTTTTTGCCATGAAAAAAAAAATAATGAAATCACCATGACTATTTTTTAAGGCAATGTATGAAAACGTCTCCATGTGTTGTTCACAACGTTGAAAAAAATGAAAAGACCAAGGAAGTCTAGAGAATTTATTTCTGTTGAAACTTTTAATTGGAGAGGTTTTCAGTATTTCTAACTGCAGAGTATGAAAAATACATAGGCCTCTTCTAGCATTTAATATAATAATTATAATAATAATTGTAGTTGTGCGTGCTTAATTTGGGTGCCAGTCCCAGATACTTCCTCTCCAGTAGAGTCCAAAATGACTTTCTGTCACACCAATTTCAGGTGAAGTGACAAAATCTACCATAAATAAATGTAATGACTACCATAATTTCTGGCCATGAATATATATATATATATATATATATATATATATATATATTTATTTATTTCTCAATATATAAATATATATTGGTATTCCTAAGGTAAAAACGTTTTAAAACATTTTTCCTCGAATTTTCCGCTTGGCAAGAGTTCGTTTTACCCTGCTCTCCAGTGACTATAAAGATCACAATAAATCTTGACATCATGTCTTCTGGTCACTTCATTTTATTTACTGCTTTGTTCTGCCTTTGACTTTTTCTGTTGAGAAGAGTCTGAGTCAGTCACTTCACATCTGTCACTCATAACATAAGTGCTTGTGTGTTTGTTGCTTGGCTTGTCTCTCTCTTTCTTTGTCTCTGTCTCTCTTTGTCAAGATTCAAGAAGCTTTATTGGCAGGATAAAAAAGGGGTTGTCTCTCTTTCTCTGTTTTGTTCTTCTTTTTTCCCCCCTAAATCAGGCTCTACTGTGTTTGATGTCAGTTCCAACAAACTTCAGGCTCTCTCCACATGAACTCCTAAGGTATGGTACAGAGCGTGTTCACAACAAGAAGAATTAGGTCACTGAGAGAAAGAAAGACAGAGGCTTTGTTCCAAATAGTGAGTTGCCTACCTAGACAATATTTTAAATACTGACAAACACCTTCTTTTAGCCACATTATAAGGCAGCATTGCTTGAATCTTTCACAGAGAGGGCAATCAATGCAAAAAAATATAGATGATGAACAAAGTGAGATAATGTCAATTATGAGTTCTAATCAGGGTCGTCATGCACTTAGTATTTTGAGGGGGTATGCACTTGGAGGGAGTAATAATACATTATTAACGCATTTACTGGCGCTATTCCAAATTATTAGGAATATTAGGACTATAAGTCCTGCATCGACCTTTCTCGTATTCTGTAGCTTATAGAAATTAATTCAATTAAAGCATTAAAGGTGCTCTACGTAACTTTTAGCGGCCTCTAGTGGTGATGTTTCAGATTGCAACCAAATTTTACAAGAGCGCTCGGGCTCAAACTCGAACTCATAGACAATACTGTCTATTATGCAAATATCTCGGCGAATACTTGACGGATTCGGCGAGCACCGAGCTCGTTGGGACCATCTAGTCGAGCTGAAAAGAACCATATAAGTTCCATAGTTTTTGGTGGTGTTTTCGCGGAGATATTAGCAGAAAACCATCGGGCGCGCTGCAAAATTGCGGACGCCGGTGACGTCACGATCTCAGAAGAAAATCGCTCGTATCTCTGGAACGCAAAGACCCAGAGAGCTCAAATTCGGGGGAGGAGGTCCCAGGGGAACCCTTGCCCGAACGCTAGAGTGGCGGGCCTCGGGGATGCCCCCTACCGGATCGCCGTTCGCTGGGACCCCCGATTTCGAACGGCTATAACTCGGGGAGCCGGGCGAGTTGGACCTCGGGGGTCGGCTCGTTCGAAAGGCCCCGTCCAGCACTAATCAACGATTAGAGTCTTGGGAATATTGATCAAAGATTGACTGACTAAGATATAAGCCAAAAAACTTGCGCCTTTAACCGGACGTAACTCCCTGACCGTCTACAATAGACTGTATATAAGGAGAGAGGCTCGGGAGCGCACATGCACGTCACATCCGTTGGATTTCGCGGTAAATCCGACCCGGAGACTTCACATAGAAATAGGAATACTGGCCTTCAGAGGTAATAGCAAAACTCGACAAGTGGATCATTTTAATGTGTGATTACAACCCCTTCACACACAGGCAATAAAAAAAGGATTCATTTTAGTAGAAAAGTTACATAGAGCACCTTTAAGCACTGACACCGCAGGGCAAACTGCACCTCATCTCGGTGTTGTAAAGAGCTTTTTGTGAACCAGAGACTGTTCTTTGAAGTCCTGCAAACCTAACGTCCTCCATAGCCAAGCGTACTACGCTGTGTTCGGCCGATAAGTATCAATAAAAATCAACAAAACACGTTGTCAAATTAGGCTATTTCGAAGGATTAATGCCTCATCCATAGACATCAGTGTACTGTCTTCTTTACAAACTATGAATGTTTTTTTGCAAGTATTTATGCGTATTTAAATGTCAGACAGAAACATAAAATAAACATTATATGGTTAAAAACACTGAACAGTTGTGATATATGATGAGCGCTGTCTCTGGCTCAGCGCCAGCCAAAGCGCGAACGCAATTTGAATTTAGCAGTTGATGACGTGACGCATTGAACATTTCTAATCACACCGGTGTGATCGTACGTTTCAAAGTCTTAATTATCAAATGTAAAAATATATATTTTTTGTCTTCTGGAAGCTGCATACAAATCCATTTGGCTCAAAAACCTGAGGGGGCACGTGCTTCTGATTCTAATATTTGTGTGTGATATGTATTTTATCCTGGAGTGTTGCAGTATTAGATCAGCAATATGCTAATGCCAAAAATTGTATCTAATAAAATTAATCTCTTGTGTGTTTTCTGTTTATTCATTCAGAAATGGGAGTTTAAATGACCCTGACAGCTTTCAAAGTCACTGCATCCTCAGGCCAAAAGGACAGTCCTCATGTTTTGAAGTGTACGTGTATCATGTACAGTATGTGTGTGTGAGTGTGGGTGGGTGTGTATACTAACCTTGGTGGTCTTCACCTTGTTGCCTGTGCTGCAGCTCCAGCCCGTGAGGTCGGGCAGGACTTTACACTCCTCACCATCCACACACGGCTGCATCTGACACCACCACTTCTGAGCTACTATAGATGCTACACACACACACAAACATCACAGGGAACATGGACAAGACCACTTAGGTTAGTACATACAGTACAGACACAGTCACTTCCAGTGAATATAGGGGAATGGGGAAAAAAAATCAGGCAAAAGGTTGTGCTGTTCCTTCCTGACTGGGTGTAGCACCTACACCTCTGCATCATTTTGAAGAAACTCAACATTACAAATGTATAGGTCCCAAACCAACTCAGTGTGGATTGTTTTGTGAATTTGTCACAATGTAGTGCAGGCGTTGCAAAGTAACTGCCTTATTGCATATGCACAAAGGTTAGCCAATCATAAAAGAGGGCATTAGAGGTCATAGCAAAAGCAGCCTGTTAATTTCGTAGGGTTGGAGAAAGGGTGGAAAATTGACCTGCAAAACGAAATTACTAGTGCTGTCGATTTAACATGTTAATTTAGAACACTTAATTAAAAAACATTAATGAATTTAATCATGCTCCCTGACAAGTACTGTACAAAACTACTACAAAAGTCACACTTACAGAGAGCAGGCAGTACAGAATGAGTATTCATTCATTCATTCATTTCATGCATTTTTGAAAGTTGAACTGTTTGGCACGTCATCTTAAAAACGTGCCAATTATAATGCAATATGTGACACAACAACCAAAGACGTCCGTCTAGTAATTAATTATAATTAATGTAATTAATTCCATTAAAATTCAAGCCCCATAAATTAAGACTGTTTTTGTACCTTGACTTAAGCTAAGTGGACTCCAGGGAAAGACATAAAATGAAAAAAGGAAAATAGGATATGACCCCTTTAAACACAGAGGATCATGGATCAGCTCAGGAGCAAGAAAATGGCAAACAGATGAGGAGTTATTTGAGATGATTCAGAGAGTAAGAATGAAGCATGAGATGGGGTGAAACTTGGCTTATTTGACATTTCCTCTCACGCAGAGCGCTGTGTGTAGAGACACTTGAGCTATTTTTTCCTGAGCTTACAGTCAGGCAAAATAAGATAACGATCGATTTCTCTGTCAAGTGGACAGTGTTGACACAATATTAAATGAAACAGCCAGACAGCTGCTGAGGAAGACAAAGAGACCGAAAGACGGAGAATGAGAGGAAAAGAGACGGGGGAGAAAGAGTGAATGATGCAGGGCACAATTGCATCTTTATCATCATACATATAGGGGTGAATTTGCTAGTTGCACCAACATTCCAGTTCATCTAGACACTGAATGCACTGAAGTAGCTCTGTCAATGAGTATTTAAATTTAGTCGTTATCGTTCATTTTAAGCACAAACGCTATTTGTGAATTAGGCTATTATTAAAACCCAGTGCCATTTGCCTGAATAGAATTGAAATGATCTGAAGATCTGTTTTACCATCCACACAGGAGGGTGCAGCCCTTGTTGTTCCAGCAACTTGTCCCGGGAAGCAGGAACACTTAACCGTCTGTGATCGCTCCTCAATCTTATTTCTGTTACAGCAGCGGTGGGCTGCAATCACCTCACATGTGCCAGCCTTCACGTGCACTGCAACAAAGAACACACACACATTTCATAAGAATATTTGTCTCTGAATGACATTGCAGTCAGCATCTCATTTAAACAGGCACACCTGCAGTCAGTCATTTCACCACATATAGACATATGCTATTATGCTAGGTACAGCTATGTTTTAGCGATAGTTGAGTCGTCAATATAAATGATTTAAATATATTTCAATTTTAATTTGTCATGTAATTAATTTGATATTTTACTTTTAAATCAAATTAATTATGTGAAACACATTTTATTTCAATTAAATTTGTATATATTTGTATTATATTTAATTTCAATTTAGTGACATTAATAACATTTAAAAAATAATTTAATGGATGTTTCATCATCTTCTCTCAATGTTTTTTAGTATCTCAGCGCCATGAGATAATCTCAGTAACACTTTGTTAACATTAGTTAATGTATTAACTAACATGAACTAACAATGAGCAATACATTTTTTTACAGTATTTATTAATCTCAATTAATGTTAGTTAATAAAAATCCAGCTGTTCATTTGTTCATGTTCACAGTTCACTAACTAATGTTAACAAACACAACATGTGATTTTAATGATGTATTATTAAATGTTGCAATTAACATTAAATAAGATTAATAAAATAATTGTTCATTCTTAGTTCATGTTAACTATAGAAGTTTACTAATGTTAACTAATGAAACCTTATTGTAAAGTGTTACCAAAATCCCTTGTGAGTTAAAATTTTTAACTTAAATGGTTGTTGTAAGAACATTTTTTTAATGGAATTTACATACAGGTCAGGGGGCATGATTAATTGCACGCATTATGTGTTGAGTTTTTTTTTTTTTTTATATACAGTGCCCTCCACAATTATTGGCACCCCTGTTTAAGATGTGGTCGAGGACTTCTAAAAATTCTCCTTTTTTTTAAAACAACATATAACCCAAATGCAAAAAAAGAGAAAAATCCAACCTTTTATTTAAGTACATTACTTTGGTGGTAAAAAAAAAAAAATCACACATTTAGAAAAAAAAAACCTTGAAATCATGTGTCCCACAATTATTGGCACCCCTGATGTTAATAATTTGTACAACCCCCTTTTGCCAACAAGACAGCACTTAATCTCCTCCTATAACATTTCACAAGATTGGAGAACACAGAGAGAGGGATCTTTGACCATTCTTCTTTGCACAATCTTTCTAGATCATCCAGTGTCCTGGGTCCTCTCTTATGCACTCTCCTCTTCAGCTCGCCCCACAGGTTTTCGATTGGGTTGAGGTCTGGGGACTGAGATGGCCATGGGAGGACCTTGAGTTTGTGACTGGTGAACCATTTTTGTGTAGATTTTGCCACATGTTTTGGATCATTATCCTGCTGAAAGATCCAATGACGACCCATCTTCAGCTTTCTGGCAGAGGCCATCAGGTTTTTATTTAAAATGTCCTGGTAGTTCAAAGCGTTCATAATGCCATGCACCCTAACAAGGTTCCCAGGGCCTTTGGAAGAGAAACAGGCCCACAGCATCACAGATCCTCCACCATACTTCACGGTGGGCATGAGGTGCTTTTCGGCATACTCATCTTTTGTTTTACGCCAGATCCACTTAGAGTGTTTGTTGCCAAAAAGCTCAATCTTAGTCTCATCTGACCAAAGCACACGATCCCAGTTGAAGTCCCAGTGCCGCTTAGCAAACTCCAGACGTTTACGTTTGTGAGTGTTAGTGAGAAAAGGCTTTTTCCTTGCATGCCTCCCAAACAGCTTGTTGGCATGTAGAGAGTCTGATGGTTGTTTTGGAGACTTTGTGACCCCAAGATGCCACTCTTTGATGCAATTCTGTGACAGTGAGCTTAGGACTTTTTTTTACTTCTCTTACCATCCTCCTCACAGTGCGTTGTGGCAAGATAAACTTGGGACCTCTTCCAGCCTTGTTTGTCACTGTTCCAGTTGTTTTAAACTTCTTAATGATACCTCTGACTGTAGATACGGGCAAGTTAAGGCGAGTGGCTATTTTCTTGTAGCCATTGCCTGACTTATGAAGGTCGACACACACCTGCCTTACTTGAATGGTGTGTTCTCTTGTCTTTGCCATGTTGACAAATGGGTAAGAGAATTAGGCCTCTGTGTCACGTCATATTTATACCCCAGGGAAACAGGAAGTCATGAATTACTAATTAAAAGTTCCTAGATACCCTGACCAACTTTAGCAACTACAGAAAAATATATTTAAAAAAAAATCAATTAAATTTTTCAGCGTAATCGTTAGGGGTGCCAATAATTGTGGGACACATGATTTCAAGTTTTTTTTCTTTTCTAAATGTGTGATTATTTTTTTTTAACACCAAAGTAATGTACTTAAAAGGTTGGATTTTTCTCTTTTTTTGCATTTGGGTTATATGTTGTTTTTAAAAAAAGGAGAATTTTTAGAAGTCCTTGACCACATCTTAAACAGGGGTGCCAATAATTGTGGAGGGCACTGTATATATATATTTAATTGTACTAAAGTGAAAAGTTAAAATGATAGCAATAATTTTTATAGCACTACTTTAGCCTACTCAAATAATCTAGGTCTGTTTTTCTTATGCAGGAAACATACACAAGCTTCCCGGTATTTTTTGTGAACTTTAATTAAAGCTCTGAGGGTCACAGAGATGAAAAGAAGACATAACCAAAAAATTAATAACAGAACTGCTCTGGGTGCCCGACGGCTACTTGTTAGGCCATCAAAATGATTGAAATTCTAACAGAGATCTTCACCATCTCACTATCTCAATATCACATCAATGAAAAGTGTTTTTCTCTTTCCGAGTGTTTGAAATTTGTAGACGTGCCTTTGAAACGTTAACGCTGAAATTGCAAAGCAGAAAAACACAGAGTTCTATTAGAGAAAGAAGCAAAATAGTGATAATGAGTAAAAAACAAATGTCTGAATTCATTTTTTTCAAAGATCGCTCCTGGTCTTTTCAATCCACCCACCTTGTCTGGAGCATTCAAAACAGTTTATTGTGGATCAGTACAGCTTAGTGGGTTTCACCCTAAAAAAACACCAGAGGCTTCAGATGAAATTTAGCCGGAGCTACTGAACATGCCGCTTCATGTTTGGAGCGGGTCTTAGCATCAGCCATCATGTTTACAGGGGGATACTCTTCTAACTGTCAGGTAGTATAAAGCTTCTGATCCCTGTTTGTGGAGGGAGTTTTAGTACAGGGACAGTTATGCGGACTTGCACACAGATCGATACTGCAGCTTTGGGGTGCTTTTTTTAATAGCGCCCAAAATAAAACCTCTAAATCTGTGCTGGGCCCTCTATTCCAAATCTCACTTGCTTGTTCCTGATTTATTGGCCATGAAAGCAAGTTGTGCCTTAGTTTTTGGCTTTAGTTTCTAAGAAAAAAAGCAAGCTGTTTGTTCCAGTCAGTTTATACCGAATGTAGGTTTTGGATATGGATAACATGACATCATAGTTCTGCTGCTGCACTTCCTCTATAACTAATAATAGAGATACAGGACAGACAAGTGCAGAGAGACGCAAATTAGTGAACAAGTAAAGACCTATTCACAACAAGTCCAAATATTTAATGACATTTTAAGCAAACCATGAGGGTCCGGTTTCACAGACAGGGCTTAGATTAAGCCTTAGTTCAATTAGGGCATTTAAGTAGCTTTTATAAACATGCCTTAACGTGTTGCGTGTTGGCATCTTGAGACATGACAATGGCACTGACATTTTTTAAGATTTGTCAGGGCAAGTTGCTTTCATTTAAAACATGCATTTTAGTCTGGGACTAGACTTAAGCCATGTCTGTGAAACCTGGGGTAGTAAGAGAATTACACTGGGGATTTTTTTTCTTCTTCTCATTTTAGTGCAGTAAAGCTTTGTAAACATCCTTAAAACAAGATTAGCAAAATTGGTTATAATAAGACTTAGAATTAGTTTCAAAACTATATATCTTTAAAGTAAGTTTATTGTTCGTACCCCATTGAAAAGGTTTCTTTAGCCAAAGGCAAATAATTTTTTTTGTATTTACTTAAAAAAAAGAAAAAAGAAGAAGTACAAAATAGATAAACTTACTTTAAGATATATTGCATAAAACAAGTCTTACTATCTTATGCAGTTTTGTATCTTGTTTTGAGGATGTTAATATATTTTTTTTCTAGAAAACAAGTAAAAAATACTGATTAAGTAAAATATATATTTTTTAATTGTACATACATTCTGAATTGGACTTGTTGTGAAAGAAAGTTATACTTTTGTGTAATTTAAAGGGGTCATATAATGGTACATGCACTTTTACAAGTTGATTGTACTGAAATGTGTGTTGGCAGTGCCTGTACACAAACATCATATAATGATAAAAATCCATCCAGTGGTTTTGTTTTAATCTCCTTATATGTTTTCCCCTGCCTCAAATCGAGCCGTTCGTTTTTGTGACGTCAATAAAACGGACGCCCCTCCCACGATTGTTGATTGACGGGAGCGTTTCAACACAGACCCGCCCTCGCACATGAGGTAGCTGTCAATCATAGTCTGCGCGGACAGGCGCGGTCATTGTTGATATGCTGGAGCACTGTCTATGAGCAGAATGGCGTCTAAGCGATTGTGGTGTTCTGTTCTTGGGTGTAATAACGAACACAGTCATTTTAATGTTCCTAAATCCGAACCGCTGAAGACGCAGTGGCTGAGTTTGTTTTCGAAGGGAATATTCCACACGAGCAACGTCAATGCTTTCATGTTTGCGCGAATCATTTCACACACCAGACTGCTTTATAAACGAGGGTCAGTATAAAGCTGGATTTGCTAAGAAGCATTGCTAAAAAGGATCGGTACCAGATATTCGTGTTCCTGCTGAACCACCAGAAGAACGGAAGTGAGTAAAACGTTTTATTAAACTTTATATTAATATATTAATCTTTGCAAATCGCTAGCTGCACGCTTCACAATGAATGCGTCTAAGGTTTACACTCAGTCAGGGTACATTACGGCATGTTTTCTATGTATGACGTTCTCAATATAATT